AAAAAAAAAAAAAAAAAAAAAAGGTAGTCATGGGGCTCAGAGAGGGAAGAAGGTTCAGAGCCCAAGGAGATGTGGGGACAAAAGCACAGGCCGAGGAATGCTTTCTGAACACCAGCCAAGGTCTGTGCACAGCTCTGGAAGATGGGAAAGGCTGAATGGAGCAGCTTGTCCTCTGGAGCCTCCAGAAGAAACTAGCCCTGTCCACACCTTGATCTGTACCTATAAAATATTCTGACCTCCACAAACAGGAAGTAAAGTTAGGCTCATGGCTTTTCTTTACTTGTTTTTTGTTTTTGCATTACTAGGGATTCATCCCGGGTGTGATCTACTATAGAACTAAATCCCCAGAGCTTTTTATTTTGAGACAGGGGTGGTTACCACCATGCCCAGCACCAGGAATAATTTTTTTCAGGAGTGTTTTAAATTATTAAATCCATTGCAGCTAGCCATGGAGACACACACCTGTAATCCCAGGACTCTGGGAGGCTGAGGCAGGAGGACTGCAAGTGTTTTTTGTTGTTTGTTTTAGTTTATTGGTACTTTTAAAGTATACAGTACAGCTACTTTCATCATTGGGATCTTGTACCTTTACCTGACAGATCTTGGTTCTCATTTTTCCCCCATACTCCTGCCCTCCCTTCACGCCCTCCCCCCTCCCCTGTAGGACTGCAAGTTTTAGCCCAACCTAAACAACTTGGCAAGGCCCCCTCTCCAAATAAAAAACAAAAAGGCCTGGTGACGTAGCCCAAGGCAAAGGCCCCGTGTTCCATCTCCAGTACCACAAATAAATGCATAAGTAAATACACTTATGGCAACCTGTTACAATAGCCACAGGAAATGCAGACAGAGGTTTCCGCAGCGAAGAACACGGGCAGACAGCTTAGGCTCACCTGGGGTTCACCGATTCCCTTAGGACTCCCTTCATGCTCCGTGGAATGCGGTCATATTGGGAGGGTAAATGAGATGCTGCCAGGCATGCCCTTAGGAGTGCCAGCACGGAGCTAGAGCTCCCAGAAGCCTGGTGGCTGGAAGCTTTAGGCCGTCCCCCACTAGAGCCGGGGCCTTGCCCGCAGCACTGATGCTCCTGGATGCTTTTGGATTGCCTCATAGTGCAGGGGCTCACTCTCCTTCCCTCTGTTTGTAGTTTGCAACACAGGCCCTGTGTTCGTTTTCCCGAATGCCTCCACTGAAAACGTGGTCTTTCTCAGCCCTGGCTTCCTCAAGGCCCTACGAGCCCTGTCCTTCTGCAGCTGGGTCCGTGTGGCCTCCAGTCACCTAGGAACCCTCCTCTCCTATGCCACTGAAGAGAATGACAACAAGCTGGTGCTGCACGGCCGAGATTCTCTGGTCCCTGGCTCCATGCACTTTGTTATTGGAGACCCAGCCTTCAGGGAGCTGCGCCTGCAGCCGCTGCTGGACAGCCGGTGGCACCACCTCTGTGTCGGCTGGACATCCATCCAAGGCAGGTACTGGCTCTATGTGGACCGCAAGCTGGTGGCCTCTGGCTCCCACTTCAGGGAGAATTACGAGATCCCTCCTGGGGGATCCCTCGTGCTAGGGCAGGAGCAAGACATTGTCGGGGGCGGTTTTGATAGTGCTGAAGCTTTTGTGGGAAGCATGTCTGGCTTGGCCATCTGGGACCGGGCACTGATGCCTGGAGACGTTGCAAACCTTTTCAGTGAGAAAAAGCTCCCTGCAGGTGCCATCCTGACTCTAGCCAATGCCACACTGGTAGGTGGATTTGTGCAGAGAACCAATTGCCCCTGCCTGGAGGACTGTCCATGAGTGCACTGTCCACTCTGCAGGCCAGTGCGAAGAGACCCCACCCCACCCTCCTTGTCCGCAGCTCTGCATGCACACCTGGGCTCTAACATAGAGCTTGGAAGTGGTCAAAGAAACATCTGCAACGAGAGAGGGGAAGTTCGGGGTCCACAGGCTGCATCTTCCCATCTCTGCAACACTCTTGTTCGTACATGCTGTACCTTCGAAGTCTCCCGTCACCTCGTTCTTCGCAGCATGACGTCATTCACCCTGGCTTGCGCCAGCCCAGCAGTTTTGCTGGATCCCAGCAGGCCTCTCCTCCCAGTCTGCCCTTTCCGTGATAAAGGGCCAGCTGATCAAGGCCTTCCCAGGGGGATGCCCTCACCCCTTCCAACTGCAGAGGTGGCTCTTTGTAACACCATGGCCTTCTCTCAAGGAGACTTAGGTAGGCTTTCCTCTGGGTGGTGGCTGTACCAGCATCTCTTGGGTAAAGGGTGCGTTTCCTGGCCCTTAAGACTACAGCTTCCTTCACTGAGAGTCCTGGGGGTTCTCTCCAGGATGATTGGTCAGTTCTTTTCTGTTGTCCTGGCATAGCTAGTAAGGCTGCCAGAGCCACCATGAACACAGACTAGTGATGCCTTTAAACCAACTCATAAAGTATAATTTTCATATTACAAACTATCCCTTTTAAGTGTACCAAAGATTCATAGTAAACGTAGTGAGTTGTGCAACCATCACCATAATCTAGTTTTTGAGTATTTCAGTTGCCCTTGAAACACTGCCTGTTAATCATCACTCTTGCCTCCAAACCCTGGCAACCCCATCTGCTCTCTCCCTATGGACTGGCCTGCTCTAGGTATTTCAAACAGATGAAATTAACAGCCTGTGGCCTCTGTGGCCCGCTTCTGTCTTTCAGCATCATATTTTCCAGGTTCATCCATGTTGTAGCTGGTGTCAGTACAGTACCTCACTCTTTTCTGTGAGTGAGTAATATTCCATTGCATGAGTGAGTGGACTATATTTTGTTTATCCATATGGACATTTAGGTTGTTTTCAGTTTTTGGTTATTGCAAATAAAGCTGCTGAGTATTCTCATACAACTTTTCGAGTGGACATAGTCTATTTATCTTGGGGCTGATGCCCAAGAGTGGATAGGTCACATGATAAATTCATGTCTAGGCTTTCACAGAAACTGTTAAATTGCGTTTCCAATGTTGCTGTATCATTTTACATTTCCACCAGAAATATATGCAGGACTCCATTTTCCAGCCTCCTTACCAACACTTGGTTTTGTGTTTTTTGGTGACCCTCCCCCTTCTTCTGTAGAATTCAAAATCGAGGCAGGTAAAAAATGAAATGTACCTTAACCTTGACTACAGGTATTTTCACTATAAGTTTGGGTGTGATATAAATTGACACTTACAGTGGTAGAGATTCCCCAGTGAAGACCTAAAAGCAAGATCAAAAAATTAGAATCAACTGGTACAGACAGGAGAATAGGGTGGTGTTGAGGGAGGCATGGGGAACTGGGCCCTGCAAAACTAGGCAACACCTACTCCACATCCCACTATTTCATTTCATTTATTGATTGATTTCTTTGTAGTGCTGGTATCGAGCCAGGGTTTTCACACTGAGCTACGTCCTCAGTCCTATTTCTTATTTTGAGACAGAGTCTCACTAAGTTGCTGTTGCCCAGGCGGGGCTCAAACGCGTGATACCCCTACCTCAGCTTCCCAGAGTGCTAGGGTTGCAGGAATGTACCTCCCAGTGTCCTCCAGCTACCCATTTTATTTTATTTTATGTACCAGGCATCAGACTCAGGTCCTTGGGCTTGCAAGGCAGGCGGTGGAACCACTGAGCTAAACCCCCAGCCCTAGCCACCCATTTTAAAAAAATAGAAAGTAAACTGGGTGTGATAGCACACACCTATAATCGCAGAGGCTGAGGCAGGAGGATTACAAGTTCCAGGCCAGCCTAGACTATGTAGTGAGACCCTATCTCAAAACAAAACAAAACAAAACATCAGAAAGTAGACTAGAGAAAGCCCAAGGCTAACTATGAGGGTCCCAAACCTTCTGTCCCCCGCTACTCTGTCCCCAGGCAAGGACATTTTCAACTCTAAGGAGGCCTGAGCACCAGCCACAAGTAGGCAGCCATCCAGGAGTGCAGAACTGCCCAGCTGCTCCGGTACCTTATATTAGTCTCTTGAGTCTCTTAGCAGGATCTTGGAGGACTAGTGCTCTGGGCCTTCAGATCATGTCAGGAGGGTCACTAGAGTCCAGGATTTCCAGGGCAGCCTCATCCAGACAGCAAGGAGCCATCTAAAAATAAATAAAGTAAACAAATAAATCAAAAATCTGGGTGTGATATGCACCCCTATTGTCTCAGCACCCTGGGAGAATGGGGCAAGAGGGCAGAAAGTTTGACTCCAACCTGGGCAACCCAGTGAGATCTTGTCTCAAAATAAAAAATAAAAAGGGGCTGGGTATGTAGGTCAGTGCAAAGGTACAAGGTGCCTCCCCCATACCACCTGTTCATGAGTCAAGGTTGGGGATGAATTTTAGAACTGGAAACCTCTGTGAGCACCATGACACATGCTTGAATCACTGGCTTCTGCTTCCCCAGGACCATCTAACTTGTTAGAGGGCTCTCTTCCACTGTTTTTTTCCAAGGCACTGTGTACTGAACCTTGTGCCTTTACACAGAGCTACATCCCCAGCCCTTTTTTATTTTTTGAGACAAGGTCTCACTGGGTTGCCCAGGTGGAATTCAAACTTGCTGCCCTCCCACCTCAGTATTTCAAAGTGCTGAGATTACAGGTGTACATCCCACATCCAGCTTTTTTTGTTTTGTTTTTTTTGAGATGGCTCCTTGCCCTCTGGCTGAGGCTGTACTGAAACTCCTAAGTGACCCTCCTGCCTCAGCCTCCTAAGTAGTTCAGATCACTATCTGTCTTATTGCATCTGGCTGAGAACCTTCCTCACCTCCTCTGATGTTTCCTAAAACTCTCTTGCTCCATTTCATTATTTTTTTTTTGAGACACTGTCTCACTGTGTAGTTCAAACTGGCCTTGAACTCACTATGTAGCTCAGGCTGGCCTCAAACTTTTGTTGCTCCTCTTGCCTCAGCCTCCTCAGCCTCCAGAATGCTGGAATTACAGGCGTGTGCCACCATGCCCAGCCTCATTTTGCATTTGAGGAAGGGTCCATCTGGCATCTTTCTTTTGGAAAGACTGATAGTCCGATTAGTAAAGACAGATCTGATTAGTGAGTACTCCTGGAGGGACAGCTAGGCCCCCAGCACAGTCTTGAGCAGGCAGGAGATGAACATCTGACAGTTTGATTTCAAAATTCTTGCTTTCAGATTCAACTCTGAGATAGAGCTAACAGTAGAGCCCTTTCACTTTCCATATGGCTGAGAAAAGACCACAGGGAGTTGTTTCCACCTCTCCCATCTTTCAGGTGTGTATAATACCCTGAGGCCGTGATGTCACGGTGGTTATACCAGTGTTTGGCTTAGTGTCCCCATACTTAAAAGCTTTAGGAGGCTTGGCAGAGGCAGGCATTACTGTGGGCCGCTGCATTCAGGCAGTTTCATGGATTGAAGGGAGGGACTCCACATAGGCAGACACTAGAGCAAGGGTTTAGAGTTGTAAATAAGCAGGGTCAGGGGGCAGTGCCCAGATGGCATGAGAGAAGCCCAGGGAGCAGTAGGGATTTGGGACAGGCAGGCATGGGACGCTTGTCTAGTTTTGGAGACAGCCAGTCTGAACATGTATCAGACATGAATCACCATTCCCATTGCAGTCAGCAACAAAGTCACATGTCCATTTTGAAGCATGAACCATATCCCCCTCTAATGCCACCAAACTCTTCCTTTAACTCAAGTCCGCTATGTTCGCTGGTTAAGAAAAACACGACTCTGAGTGGCCCTCGAGGGAAAGAGTCACGGCGAGGAGCCATAGGCTGGTTTCTCTTTCTGTACACATCCACCCTGGGCCACTCATCTTTAGACACAGATACTGACCCTTAAGAGGACAAGTGGCACATGCCTATACTCCTTGGCACTCAGAGGTTGAGGCAGGAAAACTGCAAGTTTGAGCCCAGCTTGGGCAACTTTAGCAACTTAGTGGGTCCCTGTCTCAAAATTTAAAAATACATATATGATTAGAGAGGTAGCTCAGTGGCACTTGGCTAGCACGTGTGAGGTCCTCAGATCCATCCCCAGCACTGCACACAAAAAGGAGGACAAGTTAGTTGAATCCCTTATTGTGTCAGGGACCGCCTTTGAAAATGTTTCTACCCCTGCTTGGCCACAGAGATCATCCATGGACCCAAGCACACCACTTCCCCGCAAGGACTCTTTTCATGTTCCTTCACACACGCTCTGCTATGTCCCACGCCACCTATACTACTTAGCTCTTCTGCCCGTCAAGCAACCTCTCCCCAACCCTGTTCATCCAGCAAGACCTGTCTCAGCCTTAGGCACTCAGAACTTCTAAAACCTTTTGATTTAGAAAAGTTTCAAACCTAAAAAGATTGCAAGACAAGTAAATTGGACAAATAGTTGGACATAGCCGGATGTGTGGCACAAGCCTGTAATCCCAGCACTCGGGAGGCTGAGGCAGGAGGATTGCCTGGGCTACATAGTGAGTTCCAGTTTAGTCTCAACTACATAGTGAGACCCTGTCTCAAAAAAACAAAAAACAAAACAAAAAGTTGGATATAGTGTGTGTTTGTAGGAGATATATATATGTATGTACATGTATCCTACAGGCATCAGATGTTAAATCTATATCTATCAGTCTCAAGGTTCCAAAGATTGAGGCCAGGACCTTTGCACTGTATTATAACCCCACTTTTTTTTTGGGGGGGGTACCAAGTGTCAAACTCAGGACTTGCGCTTGCAAGGCAGGCAGTGGCACCGAGCTAAATACCCTGCCCACTCCCCAGTTTTTTCAGTCTGGGTCTTACTGTAGTTCAGGTTTGCCTTGAACTCACTAGCCTCAAGATGTCCTCAAACTCAAGGCAATCCTCCTGGCTTCCCCAGTGCTGGGATTCTTTTTTTTTTTTTTTTTTTTTTTTTTTTTTTTGTACCGAGGATTGAACTCGGGTCCTTGTGCTTGCAAGGCAGGCCACCGAACCGCTGAACTAAATCCCCAGCCCTTAGAACCTTGTGATTTCAAGGCAGGTGGTGGAACCACTGAGCTAAATCCCTGGCCCTCAAAATAAAATCCATTTTGAGACAGGGTCTCACTAAATGGCCTAGGCTGAGGTTGAACTTGCAATCCCCTTACTTCAACCTTCCTAAGTGTCTGGTTTATAGGCTAGCTGTCTTTCTCCTTTAGTTGAGCCTTTCTTTGTCCTTGAGGACACTGACCTTAGGAAAGAGGACCACTTGGATTTGCACTTATCTGACTTTACCCTTAGGGTAGGACTCAGCTAAGTATATTTTGTGATGGCAGAGTGATGTTGCGTCCTTCTTAGCCTGTGCACCAGGAGGGACATGATGCCAGCTTGTCCTGTGGTTCAGGTGGAGTCCACCAGGTTTCTCACAAGTTTCCTTTTCCTTCATCAGGGTATATTCTCTTCAGGGGTTGGGGTACATGCAGCCCTGTCAACCATCCCTGTCAGGTTAGCCTTTGCTTGTCCTTAGGCGATCCAGAGCCCGAGGCAGACTCCGCAATCGAGTGAGAACCAGATCCTCGGCCGCGTCTGTCCCATTTGCCCGGACTGTGGAGCCCGAACCACAGCTCCCAGGAGGCCCCACGCGCATGGCGCTCGGCGGCTACCGTCGCCGGTCACGTGCGCGCCGGCTCAAGTCATGTGTCCATTGGTGCGGCATCATGTGATCACGAGCGCGGGTCACGGGAACGCCTTCGGGGGCGGTGGTCGGTTTCCGCGGAGTCCGACCGCTGCGGGTTATGGCCAACGTTTCCAAGAAAGTGTCATGGTCCGGCCGTGACCTCGACGACGAGGAGGCGACGCCACTGCTACAGAGGACAGTGCGGCCGGGCGACGGGACGCCGCTGCTGAACGGGGCAGGGCCCGCCGCGCGACAGGTGAGGTTCCCGAGGGGCACGGGCACGGGCACGGGCACGAGCACTAACACCGGCGCGGGGCCGTCCAGACAGAAGCTGAGAACCCGGGCTTCTGGGAGGCAGTCTGCTAGGCCGCTGCGGCTCGGAGGCCCTCGGAGCCTGAGGAGAGCGTGAGCCGAGCCCTGTCTTGGAAAGCCGTGACCCCAGTTATTCCCTTGCGGTTTTCTCAAGAATGACTTCAAAGTGGAGGCCGATGTTCTTCTGAAGTTCTTTTTAAATTGTAATAAACGCACCAGCAACAACAGCAACTGTTTTTGTGTTTTGAATCCGGGAATGTTTTATTTACTTAATTGATTTATTTTTGGTATTGGGGGTCGAACTCAGGACCTTGCGCTTCCAAGGCAGGCGGCGGAACCCCCGAGCTACAGCCCCCGGAATGTCTTAAAGTTGTTGGCAGAGTTACTCTTTCGGCTGCTCTTTCAGTGAGGTCACTGAGGATGTCCGTGCACCACCTTCCTCTCTGGGGATCAGTTTGCCACTGAGAGCCATGGTAGCACTGACAAGTGTCGGTATTCCTTTTCTTTTAGCACAAAATTGAATTTGTTTGGTTTTGGTATTGGTTTTTTTTGAGACAGGGTCTCACTATGTAGTTGAGACTGACCTGGAACTCACTATGTATCCCAGGCTGGTCTCAAACTCACAATGATCCTCCTGCCTCAGCCTCCCGGATGCTGGGATTATAGGTGTGTGCCACCACGCCCGGCTGTACATAGTTGAATTTGAAATGTGCAGCCAACGCTATAAGCAACAAACCAGGTAGGTTGGAACATTCTTTGCGCCTGTTTGTCAAGTACAAGGTCCTCAGTTCTATATCCAGTACTGAAAAAAAAAAAAAAAAGAAGAAAAGAAAAGATAGGTTGGAATGTGCTCAGCTGACAATATGCAGTTTGGATCTTTAAATGCGTAAGATTCAGAGAAGAAATTAGTTTGATTTCTTTCCCCCTAGGTCTGGCTACCTGTGTGCATACTTTTAATTTTTTTTTTTTTTTTTTTTTTTTGAGACAGGGTCTTGCTAAGCAATCCAGGCTGTCGTTATGGAGCCCAGACTGGCTGTGAACTCATGTCAATTCGCCTGCCTCAGTTTTCCAAGTGCTGAGATTACGGGAGTGTGCCACCACACCCAGCCATATTCTTAAATTATTATTATTATTGTCATTACTTTTATTTTTGGTACCAGGGATTGAATTCTGGACCTTGCGCTTGGGAGGCAGACAGCGGCACCACTGAGCTAAATCTCCAGCCCAATGCTCTTAATTTTGAATCAGTGAGTTATTCAGGTTGATAGGTGTTGATTTACCTTGTAACTATACTTTTTTTTGTTTTTTGTTTTTTTTTTGTATCGGGGATTAAACTAGGGTCCTTGCGCTTGCAAGGCAGGCCACCAAACCGCTGAGCTAAATCCCCGGCCCTATACTTTAAGTTTTCTTTTTGTTTTTGATGTGTATATTAAGCCCTACAGTATTTAAAGGTTAGGAAGGACATAGAAATGAGGCTGTTTTCTAGCTGGGGGCAGGGGTGGTGCATGCCTGTAATCCCAATACTCTGGGAGGCTGAAGCAGGAGGATAGAAAGTTCCCACCCAACCTGGGCAGGTTAGCAATAAATCCTTGTCTCAGAATTTAAAAAGGAGTTGGGATGTTGTCCAATGCAAAGGCCGCCGGTTCTATCCCCAGTACCTGCCTCCATCAGACTATGTCTGTAGAACCTTAAGATTTTTTTTTTTTATAATTTAAGATTTTTCCATTCTCTTAAAGATTCATTTGAGAATGTCTGCTCTTTGCTGGTAGGAAGCAGCTCAGCTCCCTTTGAAATGACATCTGCTTGCATCTCATGATCTACCAAAGTGATCTGAAGTGGGAAATTTAGAGTGGTGGGGCTGTGTGTGGTTAGATCTTTTTTCTTGGAATGGTCCTGTTTTTGTTTTTGTTTTCTATTTTTTTAATTAATTAATTTATTTATTTATTTATTTTTGGTTTTTTTTTTTTTCTTTTGAGACAGGTTCTCACTATGTAGTTGAGACTGCCCTGGAACTCACTATGTAGCCCAGGCTGGTCTCGAACTCAGCGATCCTCCTGCTTCAGCCTCCCGAGTGCTGGGATTACAAGCTGTTTCCTGTTTTAAAAGAAAGCTGAGGGTGGAGGATTTAGTTTAGTGGTGCCTCCACCTGCCTTGCAAGCACAAGGTCCCAAGTTCCATCCCTGGTTTAAAAAAAAAAAAAAAAAAAAAAAAAAAA